CAGGGATTGATTTGGGCAATTGTGAATCTCACACCCGTGACTCTTCCTGTTCTGGTCTTCATTTCTTGGGTAAATAATGACCCAAGGAATTAGTGTGTCCAACTTCTCAAGAGCCCAGGTCTTTGCAGCATCAGCAAAGAAGCATTGATATCTTGATGAGATGTGAAAATTGAAACCTTGCTTAGACTTGCCAATGGATCTGAGTGATGTGTAACACAAATCTTTAAAGGTCTTATTAAAAAAAACACCCCAGAGCCAGATATTGAGGTGAAAGCTGAAAGATCAGAGAAGCAGAACAGCCACCCACTAGCTTAACTCCACAAAATCCTCAACCTCAAGAGAGCGAGTTCCTGTTTCCTCATGCCTTATATACCTTTCTGTGTCCTGCCATATTACTTCCTGGGATTAAAGGCCTGTGTCACCACTGCCTGGTTCTCTTTCTCTTCTCATACAGCCCAGTGTGGCCTTGAACTAATAGAGATTCAGTCAGATCTCTGCCTCCCAAGTGATAGGATTAAAGGTGTGTGCTACTACTGCCCGACCTCTATGTCTAACTTAGTGGCTGGTTCTGTCCTCTGATCCCCAGGTAAGCTTTATTGGGGTACACAATATATCATCACAGTGATGAGTGATGGTGAGGATGTCAGATGCCCCATCTTGAGGAACTTGGGAGGAGACATTGAATTAGGCCTTCTAAAACCCTGGCTATAACTCCCAAATGTTGGAGCTCAGTTCAAAGGATTACCAGAGAAAGTTGAAGAATAGGAAAAATGATTGAGGGGAGACCTTGGGGATGAGGTCTTACTCCTCACAGGAACGAAGTGGGGGTGTCAAGCCCCACCTCTAAAATCTTTCAATGCCTACCCATAGCATACAGAAGGAATGTGGATGTGATTCTGAGGAAATTGAGCTGAACCCTAAGGTGAGGACCTCTAAGAAGACCTGACTTGAAACAGGCAAGGGCAAGTGGCCTGAAGTAACCTGTGACGGTCCACAGGAAACCTCTAAAATAGTCCATTCTAGAAGGCACCGTGCTCCCCAAGGAAGTTCCTTGGGTCTGAAGGGCAGTGGTCCCAGCTGACATCTACTTAGCACACGCTTACTCTGTTCAACAGGTTCCTGTCTCCAGGAACCGCCCACCCTCAGCCCTGGGGACAATTGAGTGTGATATAAACGGATACACAGACAAGGGGAATTAAACTTCACTTGATGAACCTGTCCCGATGCGAGGCTGGGCCCTCCGGATGTTCATGTTAGGGCCCAGTCTCGGTCAGGTTCAGCGGCTTTGACAAAGTGCCTCAGACTCATTTCCCACAGCTCCAGGAGCAGAAAGCCCTGAGTCAGGGTGGTGGCAGTGGTGTGGTTCGGGGATGAGGGGTGGGGGGTGCGCCAGGGTGTCTCTTCTGGGTTGCAGATTGCTGCCTTCTCTTTGTGTTCTTGTGGTAGAAATAGGGCAAGGAAGCCGTCCATCCACTTCACAAGGACACTGATCCCATTCCCCTTCTAAGGCTCGGCCTTCTAAAAGCTCACCCCGGAGGGCGGGATTTCAACAGCAATGGAAGGGGATACCTTCGTTCAGTCCACGGCAAGCCTGAATAGGAATTTCTTTAATGAAAAACGAACTCTGTGCTTCTAATTATGTCCTCTTGAGGATATTGTAGCCAGCCAGCATTTCCTGCTTACTGTATGAACAGAGCCTGCCGAACACTCACCAGGGATCATCCTAGCAACGTTTCATCTTCACAGTAGCGGGGGTTATTTCAGACCCCGGTTTACGGATGAGAAAACTCAAGTGTGAGCACGCTTCCTGTAGACACAGGTGAGAGCGCTTTCAGAGTGGGACTCCTCGACTGGAGAGCATGTGATGCGAGGCTCTGTGATGGATGCTCGTAGCAGGCAAGATGAAGAAGGCAAATGAACACAACTCAGGCTGAAGTCACTTAAAGAAGACCGTCACGCGCCTGCGTCTGCTACCCCTGGGTGTGTGTAGGGTGGTGCCGTGGGAATTTTTCTCTTTATATGACTTTTGGGAGATTGGTGAAGACAGTTCTTCCTAATCACAATAGCCTTTCCATGTCAATAACTGTGTTTCAAGAGTAAATGAATCTGCTTGATCCCACTCCATGAAAGAGCTAACTGATTCTCTTGCCCCGTTCCTCACTGTCAGGAACGTTCTGGTAGCGGAATCTTTTAACAAGTCCTGATCACTTCACTGGTCAATCCCAGCATGGGAGCTCAGAATCAGACTCCAGTGGGACACAGTGTGAAAGTGACTGCTTCCTGATCTCACAAGTGCTCCCATGGAGTCACACCAGTGCTCCCATGGAGTCAGACTCTCACAGGACACAGTGTGTTCCCATTACACTTATTTCTTTGTCCACTTTCCCAAGCATATTCTGCAGAACACACATGACAATGTGATGCCTTTCCCACATCAGTTACCTAGAAAGAATATCTTGACGTCACTTGAGTTTACTTGTATTTGACTGTAAGGATAATGGGGATTGTTTTCCTGTATCTCTTAATGAGTTATTTATATAATTGGCAATTTTTCTATGGAGTGTCTTTTCTTGCTTAGATGTGAATGCTTTTTTATATTTTAAAGATATGAACATATCAAAGATGGCAAACATTTCTATACAATTCATGATAATTTGTTTGAATTTTCTCCATTTTAAATTTCTCTCTCTCTCTCTCTCTCTCTCTCTCTCTCTCTCTCTCTCGTGTGCATGCATGTTCCTGTGTGTTGAGTATGTCCATGTGTGTCATGCACATGATGTATGGCAGTTGAAGGACCACCTCAGAGGCCTGTATGCATTCCCACATGTTTGAGACAGGATCTTTTCATGTTCACCACTGAGTACTCCAGGCTAGCTGGCCCCAAGGCTTCCAGGGAATCTCTTCTGTCCACTTCCCACCCCGCCACTGGAGCAGTGGAAATTCAGACCCACACATGGGCTTGGGAGGATTCAAACTCGGGACCTTGTGTGGCAAGTGCTTTACCGACTGAGCATCTCCTCTTCCCCTTCTTTAGCTTTCCAATGATGTTTTATGTAGAAAACACAACCTCTTCCTTTCATGCTGATCATACCCTCCCTCCCACGAACATCGTCTTGGTGCAGTCAGCTCTGCTACGCACGGCCGTGCTTCTTCCAAAGGCTTCGTTTCTAACACGACTTGTCCACAAGTGGAAACCAGAGCCTTTCATGCTCTCCCCTTTACGGGAAGAAGGCTGTGTTCCAGCAGCCACTGGATTGTCCTGAGTCGCTAGAGAACACATCACAGAAGAAACCTAATCGAGACGATGGATCATCCTCACCACCCTTGACCATCTTGGCTGATTGGTCAGGGTTGACTTGGTCACCGACAGCCATCCGAGCCATGAAGAACTAGCCATGACTGCTGGGGCTTTGTGAGGAGTGTGTGTGGTGTACACAGACCACGAGCAAACATGCATGAAGGGCAGGGCATGTCTGGACACTAAGAGAAGAGGCTTTCCTAAGAACTGTGCTGTGATAACAGGCATATTCTGGGATTGTTCCAGGCAGGACTGGGTGGCCATCCCAGGCATCGGGGACAATATAGTAGAAGAAGGGACCAAGGCTCAGGAAGCTTAGGGTCAAGGTCACAGTTGGTGAGTGTCCAACTGGCTTTAGACTCTGCTTCTCTCCTGGCATGGCTTTGTGACTACTGTTAGCTGCCCTGTCTCTTCCATTTCTCTTTACAAAATGAAAGGACAATGCTTATGGAATTCCACTGCAGTTCTCCGATCAGCCCTGGAGTTTGGAGCCATATCCTGAGAGCTAAATAGTTAGCCCTGCCACCTGTGTCCTCCTTCCCAGGACAAGGCCAGACCTGGGAGGAGACAACATGTTTGACAAGGGATGGAGGACCGAGTGGACATCTCTGCTTGTGGGCTTGGTCTCCGCTGTCTTAGGATCAGAGCATTGGACCTGTTCTTGTGGCAGGGCCCCCGGCACACTTTAATGGGTGGGTCATACCCCTCAAATTTCTCAGGCAGCCTCATCCAAGCAGGGGAAGCTGACACACACCACAAATACCTCGGTGCGGGGCATGAGTGTGTGTCTAAAGGAACTGTTAGGCATATTAGCAAGCCTAACCTCAAACACCAGACATTTAAAGCCAGAGAGAAGGGCCCTGTGGCTGGCAGAGAGGGCCATGACCCAGTGCTCTCCTGGTCGTAGACATTTAGAGTAAGACGTTTAGTTTTATTCTAAGCCATAGGAGGGATTTCTGGGCTCTTGTTTTTGTGTTGATTCCCAGAGAGATTTAACACCTTGACCCAGTTGCCAGCCAGACATCTTTGGTGCACTGCAGGTCCAGGTCACTTAGTGTCTTCTTTATTTATTAGATGAGTCTGACTCCAGGATTTTAGCCCTTGGCTGTGTTTGTTGCAACCATTGCCACAGATTATCACCTGCTTTTCCTTTCTTTTCTGAATAGCAGGGGCTCTCTGGTTAGCCACAGGTGGTATATATTCTTGTTTATCTAAATCTGGTCTGTGTTGTCACGGCAATATTTCGCATCCCTGGACATTTATCTCCAGGCGGGGGCTGGCAACCATCCGACCCATCAAAGGATAGGGAGTCGAGGACCCAAGGGTCAGGATGCCGTGATGGGGACGCTCCTGGCTACGGATCAGGACACACACGAGTCAAAGGTCTCTCTTGCCGCGAAGAAGACGGAGGCTCAGCAGAAAGCCGTGGCCACCACAGAAGAGGCCGGGTTCCAGGCCAGCCTCAGAAGTGTAAACTGGGCACGGCCGGGGCCAGCGGGCTGAAGGGCGAAGGTCCTGGACCGGGTGCTGGAGCCCCACCCTGGAGCCCCGCCCACCAGGGCCCGCCCCTCCGAGCGCTCTGACCTCTCAGCACCTTCCGGCTCGGCCAGGGCTCTCCCTCCTCGGAACTCATTGGTTGACTCTCAGTCCCCGCCCCCGGAAGAGCTGCTTATCGCAGCCAATCGGCGGGCGCGGCGGCGGCGGAGTCTGGGAGCGAGGTACCCCGACCTGGAGCAGGGGCTGCGGAGTTGACTTGCGGCACCCGGGCTTGCGGGGGTCGCTTGTCACCGTGGGCACGCGGGTGGGCTGCTACTCCAGGGCTGGTGGCCGTCGCTGTGTCCCGGGAGGGCTGGTGCCGGCTTGTGGGGGTGGCAGGATGTGTGTTCCATGGAAAGTTGGGGCCCGGCCCGTGTAGGCCCAGGGGTGGGGCCGCCTCAAATTTGTTTTATCTCCTGCTTAGGGACACCCCAGCCTGTCACTGAAGGGAAACGGAGGTCTCTTCCGGCTGCCCCGGGTGTCAGGGGCTCTGAAATCCGAGACTGGAGGGAGATGCACTGAGGCTGGCTGTCCCCTCTAAAGGGCCTCTCGGAAGGCACCGCCAGGAATGCCTAGCGTCCTATTCGAGCCATTTGGAAGGGGAAGGAGGTTAGTTGTGGCTCTGGCGTTTGGCTCTAGGTGACAATAAAGGGCGCATGGGGGTGTAATGAATGCAGAGTGACCTCGAGAAAAGGGCAGCTTGAACTTTGACAGGCGTTTTTCCATTGCTCGCCTCTCGGGTCAAAGTCAGCTAGGGTCAAAATAAGAGACTTTGCGACCCATGGTTGCCCTCAGCTGTGTCCTTGGCCTTCCAGAAGACACCTTGGAATGCCTCACGAAGTTTCTGTACAAAGATTCTGAATGTGAAGTTCTCAGTATCTGGTTGCTAAGAACAGTACTCTGAGACACAAGTGGCGTCTGTGTGTGGGCTCGGGGAGGCACAGCTGTGGACGGGGAAGGAGGGTGGGGGATCTTTTGTGTTTCTGTACATAGTGAGCAGTTAGGGAAAGCATGATTCTATTCTGCCTAAGTCCCACGTGGGCTAGTGTGAGGATGTTGTCGATCCGTCCTGTGGGTGTTTGCTGAATATTCGCAATATTAGGAAATTACTAATGAGACAGTTCTCTTTAGGAAGCCAGAGGGGAATGAATAGGATTTGTGTAGAATTAACCCCAGGTTTGGTTTGCAGTTAAGAAAATGAGGCAGAAGGAAGTGTTAGCCAAGACCTTCCAAGGCCCAGCCGTTGTCTGTAGGACGCCAGACAGCCACGTTTACATGTTCAAGAATGGCAGTGGAGACTCCGGGGACTCCTCTGAGGAAGAGTCACATCATGTGGTGTTACGACCCCGGGGCAAGGAGCGCCAGAAGAACAGCATCCAACACCCTCAGCAGCCCGGAGCGGGCAGCGTGGTTCTGCTGCAGCGGGAGCTGGCCCAGGAGGACAGCCTCAACAAGCTGGCTCTCCAGTATGGCTGCAAAGTAAGCTGGCTCAGTCCCCGAGTAAGCCGACTGCTCAGTTAGTTGGGAACCTCCGTTAAGGGTGTGTTTTGCTTTACCCCGACTTTCCCAGTGACGCTATGAAACTGTGTGGTCTTTTGAGCACATTGGATCTGAGATCTTAGGGGCTGGAGATGGTAGGTGGAGTTTGGCCCAGTGTTCTTGGCATGCTTACTTCTCTCACAACTTGTATTCTTCCGACCTTTTCCTGCTCCGACTGATAGAGTTTTGCCTTCTCTCTATTAGAAACTGTATGGTCTAGCCTCTGTCCTGTGCGTTTGTATAACCATATCTTTCTCTTTAATTATGTTTTTAGCATTCAGAGTGATTAACAGTGGCAAAGTAAGTAGGAAAGCATTTCTGGAATCGCTCTTTTCTCCTGCATCAATACGGCTCGTTCCCCGCTGCTAACTCCGTGCTATAGACTGATAGCAGCTTTCACCCAGGCTGCCTCAGCTACACCATTAAAAAACAAGAATTTTGACCTCCTAAAAATGGTCTATTGTTTATCTAACAAGACCCAAATGAGCAAAAAGATTGTGTGGGTGTGGGAGTCTTTCCCGGAGTAGTAGAGGCTGGTCTCCAGGGACACATGGCATCTTTGTATTACATCAGCCTTTGTGTTTGCGTCTTACCATCTGCTTCCGTAGGCATAAGCTACAGACCATGGGCTGAAAAACAGAGCCTTCCCAACAAAGGCTTGAAGGGTAGACTGAGTGGGCCTGTCAGAATGATGGTCTATAAACAAACCCAGAGTGGATTTTTAGTGCCCCCACGAACCGGTCCAGTTCAGTTGGCAACAGATACATGTGCTATTCCTTTCTGCGCAAAGAATGAAAGCTGCTAAGTTTCAGATAAAAAGCATCCCGCGAGTCAGTTCAGTGAGACTCTAAAAGTGGCTGCCGAATCAAGTCATCCCACACTATGGGCCAGAATAATAAACCCTGTGGGTTGTGCTTACATTCTAGATAAGTTTTTCAAAAGCAGCTTGAGGGGGAGTTTAAAATTTGGCTTCCTGTCCCTCCTTTTCTGTTAGAAGCTTTGTGTTACTCAATAAAATCCAGTCACGTTCCCCTTTCCGTCGTTGGGAATGGGAAAATCTCATTCTGGGACTCCTTAGGTTGACTGCTGATTTCCTAACCTGCTTCAAGTGAGAGGTAGGACCTCCCCAAGGTGAACTGACCTGGAGTCACTAAGTTCCCGTGCCTGCACGACTTCCAGGAAAGCACCGAGGGAGCCATCAGGTGGTAGAGTCCCTGAGTGTGTCCAGGGCCAGCTCAGGCTTCAGGGATCTTGTCTGGCCACTTGCTCAGCTGGACTCTGGTGTGAGAGGCGGGCACTGTTGCCTCCGAGCTTGACAGAAAGGGCAGCAGTGTTGGTCCTGTTTCACCTGAAGCTTCTGTTGGGCTCACAACACTTTCCCAAACTGACCTGAAATTGTTCAAAGTAGAACCGTTGACTTCTAAGCTATTCATTAAGAGGTTAAAAACCAAAGACCAAAAAAATCTAAAGCTCAAGTTACTCAGGCAAAACAAAGCTGTTGTGGGTGCAGTTTCTAGTCTTCATGGGCTTCTTCAGTGGGACCCCAGCAGGCTGAGGGTTTCTGCTGGGGCCGGGTACTGGTTTTGAGGAACTTTGTATGTTTATAATGCCTGGCTTCCCTAGGTTGCAGATATCAAGAAAGTGAACAACTTCATCAGGGAACAAGACCTGTATGCTTTGAAGTCCATCAAGATTCCGGTGAGAAATCATGGCATCCTCACAGAGACCCACCAAGAACTCACCCCCCTGGGGGCCCCATCCTCTGAGACCAGAGTGACCCTGGGAGAACTGTCTGAAGATGAAGAAGCCGCGGGGACAAGCGCCCAGGGAGACCAATTGACGGATTTCTTTAAGGGAATCGATGAGAACATCGAGCGGGCTGTGCAGTCTGACGTCTTCCACAGCGACAGCTGCTGCGTGGAGGCCGCGGATCAGCCACTGCTCCCCGTCACCCAGAAGCCACCAGGCGACGGCGCAGACTGCGGGATTCAGTGGTGGAATGCTGTCTTCCTCATGCTTCTCATTGGGATTGTGTTGCCAGTGTTTTATCTCGTCTACTTTAAAATCCAAGCCACCGGGGAAGCCTCAAGTAGCGTGAATGCAACTGTTGTCCCCAATGACTCGATGACACTGAGCCCAGTTCCAGCGCCAGCGCCCAGGTTGGCAATCCCAGTGCCCACCCTCCCCGCGTCAGGCAGCCAGGTCAGCTCAACCACCCAGGCAGGGGCCTAAGCTCATTTATTCTAGAATGGGCAATGCTTTGGCAGTTGGCTCTGGGTGTGTGTGGCTGTCACTGGCTGTTTGCCAGGCATGTTGCACTTTGCTTCCTGGGATGTATGGACAGTTAGAGAAGTTACCACGCCAATCTGGATTGTATGGACAGAGGAATGGCCTGGCCTAACCCAAGGATGCAGGATCCCAGACGTCATCGTCCTAGCAAGAGAGACGTTTACATGGAACTGGTGGCTGATTCTTGAAGACGTGTCGGGGCTGGCTATACAGCCCTTCTGGGTGAGCGCCCAAGGAGAACGTGATAAGGGATCTGCGATGTTGGCGCTCCCACTCTTGGGTGGGGTCAGATGACTGTCCCAGTGTCCCAGCCTGCTAATGGTTGGGGGGTGGGCTCAGCGACGCGTCCTGTGTCTGGGTAGACCAAGGTGCTATGCAGTGTGTCACTGAGTTTTAGAGCGACGCATTGCAGTTGGGACAGCCTGGCATGCCTGCCTCTTCACTCGGCCCCATTGAGGTGGTGGTGCTACTTCAGAAGTGAGAATGCTCAGAATCCCAACTGCCATCCTTTGACTTACGCTGCAGTACGGTCCCTCACACTGTTGGAGCTTTATGGTCTCACACATAGCTTAAGCCAGACACAGGGCCACCGCTCAGATTCACAGTAGGAGCATCTCTGTGGTGATGGCTCCAGGGATTCTCCCAGTGGGCATCTTGGGAGCAGCTGTTATTGGCGAGTAGTTTGAAGAGACTACATCCGCCATTAAGGTTCTAACACATGCACCTCTGAGGCCAACCCACTGTCCGACGCGTGTTGCCAAGGACAGAGGCCTCCACCCCCACCCCCGACCATCTGTGCCCGAAGCAGAGTATTCCCGCTGCCTCCATACTCTACCTTTTGGGTGTTGTCCTTAAACTTCCAGATTCTGTGTCTCAGTGTTCAAACCAGATGCAATGTCAGTCAGCTTTCTCTCACTGGACAAAATAATCTTGGCTCAAGATTTCGACCCATGGCCTGATTTGGGGGCGCCTATGGTAAGAACACACATCACGGAGGAGAGTGTGGTGGGACAAATTGTTCCTATGACCAGGAAGAGAGGGAGTGACAAGGGGCTTGGGTCCTGGTATCCCCTCCAAGGTCATGCCTGCAGTGACCTTGCCTCTCCCACTGGACCCCAGATCTTCCCAGTGCCAAGGTGAGCACAAGCCTTTAAGATGCTTGCCTTTGGGGGGCATATCCAAAGCCCACCAAGCTGACTCTGGCTGTGAGAGGCTGTAAAAGCGGCAGCCACCAGAGGGGCGAGATGCCCGAGGTGGTCCCAGCCACTCCCTGGTGGCAGTAGCCGTCCATGTGCTGCAGGGGTGTGGGAGAAAGGGCTAAGTCAGCCGGCCTTGTCACAGCAGGGAAGGGGCTGAGGTGGCCCGGAGCTCAGCTTCAGGGTGAACAGAAGGCAGGCAGGTCGCTCCAGTGGTGAGCTTGGGGATGGTGGCGCCACTTGACACTCAGGCCTAGAAATCTGATCGGAGGAGCAGAATATTCCGTGAGCCTGTTGTTCAGTTGTCTGAAAAACAGTCTGCCCAGGGTGTAGATAGCCAATTTAAGTCATCTTCAGAATTAAGTACTTTGAGGCCAAAAATAAACCGGTGAATCTCAATACAATAAACATCGATTATGTTAAGTGATTTCTATCTGGATGCTCATGACCATTGTAGCTGTGAAGTTTCTTTTAAATGTTTTTACCATTGACTTCAGCAGGCAGGGCCCAGAGTCCTGTGGGAAAATCGTTTTCGCTAGACAACGAATGTCTTTCCCCCCCTGAATTCTGTCGCCAGTGTTAGGGACTGATGGTGACTGCCTGCACACAGTCCTGTGTAGGCTCCTCAGTAGAACATGACAAGGGATCTGCAGTGTCCGTGCCCCCGGGGGTTGGATGGGGTCACATGACTGTCACAGTGACCCTGCCTGCTGAGGGCGGGGGTGAGTTTGGCGCAGAGATGTGTTCTGTCTGTCTGTCTGGGCAGACCAAGGTGCTATGCGATAGTATCAGTATGTCACTGAGTTTTAGACAAGTTACAGCGGTAACTTGTATCTCTGTATTTTTCTCAAGTGGAATAAAATATTTCTTCTGTGAAGGAAACACGACTCCCTCTTTTCATATGTGGATATTAACAGTTCAAAGCTGAGGAACAGCTTTGGAGAAGGTGGCAGTGGCCTCTGCCTCCTGCTGGGTCTGGGCAAGTTGCCGTGGCTCTTGCTGCACACGTGTGGCCAGGGCAGGACAGACGAGTGGTAACCAGTGCACTCTGGCCCACTGACCTCCATGATGTGCGTCATAGTTGAGTTAGGTCTGCGGAAGACTACGTGGAGTTCATTTCTGCTATTGCATTTTGGTGACTAGGGTGCTTTGGAAAAGATGGTTTACATTTTTAAATTAGGGGCATCTGTGTCCCTGTGGGAATGTGCATGTGAAGGCAGGTGCCCTTGGGGTTCAGGTAGTGTAGGACCCACTGGAGCTGCAGTTCTAGGCAGTTGTGAGCTGCCTGGTGTGGGTGCTGATAACGAGGTGGGTCCTCCGCAAGAGCAGTCAACACTCTTAATGGGGCCATCATCTCTCCAGTCCCCAAGAAAGTGAGTGCTTTAAAGAACCACCTCATCTTTTTGGGTGGGCATAGTGCTTCAGGGTAAACACTAAAACACTAAGGAATTCTCTTAGTATCGGATGGGCTGGCTCTACACCAGGGAAATAAGGCTCCAGGCTGGCTTGTGTTCTGCCTGCCTGAACAGCAGGGCACATGGACCAGGGGGAAGAAACACTAAAGGTCATGGATTCCACAGTCATGTGGGACAGTCCAGGCCCCGGGCTGTATGGACCTAGTGGAGAAAACTTGACATCACGTGAAAGATGGCTGCAGCCAGGAGCAAAACGTACTAACGTATAACCCGTGGGGTTCCTTGTTCATTGGATCCCATGGGAGGGCAAAGACTGTGTGCGGAACCCCTGCCTTCCCAGCCCCCTCGGGAGTAGGCCTTGCCTGTCACCACTCTACAGGTTGACATCTAAGAGCCTACAGCTGACAAACGGGGTGCTCGGGGACCTGCCCCGCCTGGCAGCCCCAGCATTGTGCTCTTACGGTTCCATAGCCTTTTGACCCTGCTACCCACCAGCCTGCTCCGGGTGGGGCTGACGGAGGCGCTGATGACCTGCCTGGTGTCCAGACCCTGGGGCAGCTGGGAGTCAGTCTCTGGAAGCATTGGTGGTCTCTCAAGGCTTCGGGAGAGAGTGGTGGAGAGAATTGGACTATGAGGCCTACAGGAACACTGGCCAGTGCTGGTCAGAAGAGTCCATTGCAGGCATCTAAGAACTGTGGCTGGCACCAGAGCCCACCTTCCCTTTTCCCTTTGTCGGGAGGGAGAGTGCTGGGGATTGACCCCTGGTCCTGGGATCTCTTCTACCACTGAAGTACCATTCTAGCTGGATCCTATTTTGTTGTTTTTAGGTTTTTAAATTTGATTCATTTTATTTGATTGGTTTTGCACATGCTAAGCAAACGCTCTACCACTCAGCCACATGCTCTGCCCTAGTTCCCGCCCCTCTGATTGGCTGGTGTAAGTAAGACTCATTCAGTGGATGTAGTATTTAAGTCAGAGACCCAGACTCCTTGTCTAAAGAAGTCAGCCTGGCTTCTGTTGCTAAGATCCTCCCACTTCCTCACTGCATCCCTCCCAGGGCTCAGCACGTGGAGGCGGGGTTCTTCATGCTCCTTACCAGGGAGAAGGTTTGGCTGGCTTCACCAGGCTGAGCAGGGGCACCTGGGTGGGGAGAGTGGCCAGGACTGCAAAGCCAGGTGACTCAGTGCAGCTGCTGAGGCCAGGTGAGGCTAGTGCCCCCGCCTCTCACCGCCCCCGAAGGAACAGCATGGCACTGGCAGCTTCAACCCATCACCTGTGCCCTTTCTTACCCCTGCTCAAAGTTGCAGAAGGTTCCAGAGCCTGCCCCACCCCGAGGCATCGGTGACAGCAGAGCCTCTCCATACCTCTCCAGGCCTTTTGGTCCAGGGGAGACTTCCCCAATTCCCCAGGAAGCATCTGGTTATTTAATTCAGTAAAATTGTTTCTGAGACAACCCTAGCCTATAATTTGCTATGGAGACTAGGGCTGTCCTCATCTCCTTAGTGCTTCCACCTTCACATCTGGCTGCATCTGGTTATTTCATTGCCCCAAATACAAAACACGTGCTACTCTTTATCTGTATTCCATCCATTCATCCATCCGTGCACACATGCTTTAGTTCTTCATTAACCTTTCAGAACACCAAGAGGTGATGTGCTAACCAGACAGGGCCCGTCCCCTGCCCTCAAGGTGCAGATAAGCTAGAAGGACACGTGATAAAAGTCTCTGGGTCCCAGATGTGTTATCTGGGAGAGTCATAGTTCGTAAGTTCTCTAAAGGATTGGAGCTGGCATTTCCTTAGCTACACTCAAAAGGACAGTGGAAGTCAGTGGCACAGTGGACGGGTGTGATATTTTAAGGGTGGAACATGGGAACTATGTACACAAGAAGCTGAGTAGCCAGTGACCTGGTACGTAGGGAGTGTTAAGGGAGTTTTGAGGAAATGTTGCAGGAATAAGGTCTGGGGCCGGATGTGCAGCAACCTGAGTTCTACATTTAAGGGCCTGGTATTATTTCAGGGAAATCAGAAGTGACTCATGGTGGCCTGAGGAGGCCACCACCATTGAATTAAGTTTCCTTACTTTCTATGTCCGCTACTTCTAATTCTTCTGTTCTTAGTTTCATTTGATTTGGAAAATTGCAGTCATCCTTAAATTTTCCCGATTCTTCTTCTCTATCTACAGAGAGCTATTGATGTTGTAACTCTCATTAAGATTACATTCATTTTCACTCAACCTTCCTGTTTGTGAGGTCTCCATTGTTTTTCTTGTTGCATGTCTAATATGCCATCATCTCATTAAATGCATCTTTTAATTTAGGTATTTTTAATTCCTGGAACTTTTTATACCTTTCAGTTTCCCCACCACTGAGTTCATGTTCCCAATAATTATTTGTTGATAAGAACTGTGTTAACACTATTTGCTAACTGTATCACTCATGTCACTCTGAACATATTTGGTGATTTCCCTACCCCTGGTTATAGATTTCATTATTTCCCTTAATGCCTGGAAATTTCTGGTTAGATTCTAGACATGGCAATATATTATTGGATGCTATGTTTTTCTGTCTTCTCTTAAAAACTGCTCTGTTCTGCTCTGGAGTACTTAGAATCAGATTGCTTCTTTTGAGCCCCCCCCCCCACACACACACACACAGGGTTTCTCTGTGTTACTGAGGCTTTCCTGGAACTTGCTGGGTAGAACAGGCTGGCCTTGAACTCACAGAGATCCCTCTGTGCCTGCCTCTCAAGTGTTGTGATTAAAGATGTGCACCACCACTGCTTGGCTGGAGGCTCATTTCTAAATACCACTACATCTATAAAGCTCTACAGGCACAAACTGAGAACTCAGGGCACGTCCACATAATGGATGCTAGGATGCTTTAAAAACAATGATGTTGGTTTCTATGAACTGACTATTCCAATGGAGTGATTTTCAGATATACCACGTATACTTGTACAAAAGGAAAACAGGAAGAATTACATGGGAAACTAAAGATTGGCTATCAACACTGGCCAAGTGGGAGATGTGGAGGATGGGGAACAGGGTACCAGTGTGACATTTCTGAGATCTTTTTGTACAGCTCCTAGAGAAGGAGCAATGGGGATCTGGGGTTACAACTCAGTGGTAGAATGCTTGCCTAGTACGTACAAGGTTTGGGATCAATCCCCAACACTGTCCCCCAAAAGGTTAGGATGCCATTCATAAATCCAAAACACAAATACATAAATGAGGCTAATATGGTGGAAGAAGGGTATGCAAAACAAACCCAGAGCACCTACAGGTGAGCCCAACTGTGCAACAAAGAACCGTACGCAAAGGAGACAGGAACGAAGTTACTGTTACGCATGACCTTGACTGAATAATGTAAAGCTAGGGCAAAGAACCTCCGACCTCAATCTTTCACATGCTCTAACGTAGCCAGTAAACGTGCATTCCCCAGGAAGGGATGGGATGGCAAATCCGTAACTAGTTTCTGTATGTACTAGAATGGAGGAGGCCAGGCGATCACAGGTAGGAGGAGCTGGGGTTCTTCCCGGAAGCGAAGCAAGCTACCAGTGAAGAGAGACAAGACAAAAAGGATGCAGCCAGGTGGACTCTGAACAGCCTGAGGCACGTCCATGAGTGGGCATCCCACAGCTTCCAGTGTGCAAAGAGAGCCCCATGCTGTTAACACCCCAGTAACAGTGAGCACACCTACTGCCTAGAGCTTGGTTTCAACATGTCATCCTCTAACAGAATGAACCAGGAATCCTTGAGGGAGCACCTGGCCCAGGTTAAGGAGAGGGAAAACACAAGTATGGAACATCTTGTAGTGCGAGAAGCAAGGATGTGCTGAAGCCTGGTCAGAAAGTGCTGGAGAACTGGTGTGTGAACCCGATGGTGTTCCTGAAGGCCCAAACTTGAACAGTTTGTGGAGCAAAATGATAGATTACAACCCATAGACCAAAATACATTGCTGTCAATCCCTAAAGATGCAGCCCAGTGATTGGGGAGGTCAGCCATACCTCAGAGTTTAATTCCCATTGATGAATGTAGAATATGGGCGAAGGAAACAGGGAACAGCTGAGCTAATAACTGCTGAAAACAAGATATAAAATGGGTGAAAGTGGGGGGAACCTAGTACTCAGGCTACCTCCAAGATACTTAGGGAAGACAGCATTTTACAGTGAAGCCTAACAGGAACCTTCACCGCGGCAAAGGGACAGCCATCTGTAGTGAGACACACTGACACCATCAGTTCCAGAACCAACTAGGACACATCCCTTTGGGCTCTTCTTGCCTATATGTAGCACCTCATCCCAGTCTCCGCCAGACTCCCCCACAGCTGAGTGGTGCTTTGCTGGACAGGTGGCCGGGGGTGGGCTGCAGTCCTCCAGCTGCCACAGGGTTCTGCAAACCACTTTCTCGGCTGCTGCCACTCAGACACAAAATCAGCTTAAAACCGAGCTAAAGGCTAGAACAAGGC